GCAGAAAGGTGGGAGGGGAAGGCTCACACGGCAGACAGCGCGTGCGTGACGTCGGCGGTCCGGGTCAGATACCTGGTGGAGTACAGCACCACGTTCGACGAGACGTGGGACCATGTCGATATTGTGGCGTGGTCGTTCGTCGAGCAGTCGACGGCGATGCTGTGTGCGAGCCTGCCCAGCCTGCGTCTGCTGCTCGTCAGCGTCTGGCCCCGACGTCGGTCTACGGTGTCGGAGAGCTTCTTCAGCAAGGACAGTCCGAAACATAGGTGGACTCGGTCTGTTGACAGACTGAGGCGACACAAGACGCAGATACGCAGAGACAGCGGCCCCGGGCCGCAGCACACGGGCGACGGCGTGCTTGTGACGACCACGGTGGAGGTCGATCGGCAGTCCTACGTGGCTCTCGACGTGCCGCCCTTCCCACCGCCTGCCTATTCTGGGCGTGGCAACAACACATAACAGCAAGTCATGGGAGAAGGGATCATTGAACAGTATCAAGAATCTATGGTGAGCTATGATGAGCTATGATGATCCGTGATGAAGGGTTATTGCTGGGGCATGTTGCTGGAAGTTATCCGTGAAAGGAAAGCGACGCGAAGTTGAAGCACGTGGAAACTTTGCCATCATTAGGCGTTGGCGTTTGACCGGTGTCTGGCTACTTGAAGGCGGCGCAACGAGTCATGAGATAGGTCACACAGCGTTGAGTTTAGGACATGAATCAAGTGCGGTATTTCTATGTAGAGATGGAAACCATCGTGCATGTTCCGAAAATTACATTGAAAAGGCTGCCAATACTCCAGCTGCCGTTTTCGAGGCCGTATTGCCGCTGAGGCCTCATGTTGTGATGACGTTTTCTTCGTGCAAACCTCTAGGCCTTTTGGTGGGCGGTGCTTCCGATGGGCAATGAGATCTCCGTAGCTTTCTGGTGCAGTGAACACCTGGATTTCGCCCGTCTCTCTTTCGATTACGTAGAGCTGCAGCCCCACTCCCCTGCTCGTGAGTAGTTCGCCAGCGGTCTCTTTACCACAATTCAATTCTGGCACCAAACCAGCGACAGACGGCAAATTAGTGGAAAGGGAAGTTGAAGACGACCCGATGCTAGCGACTGTCAGTGCTCTTCAGCCGCCATGACGCTAGCCCTGTGGGCGGTCGAGATTGAGATCGTACCTTGCATGCTGTGTGATGGGATGAATGGTGATTGACGAACCCCAAAGCCCGCCATGTTCCGCGGTAATGCGGGTGGAGCCCGTCCTGCGTTGCGCCTAGCCGGTCCAGATGCTTGGAGCCGGAGCCGTTTTTGGCCGTTCGCCTACCGGTACAATGGTGGCCGTTCTTTCTGTTCTTTCTGAGTGCCGTCGGTAGGGAAATCGAATTGGCCCCTGCAGCTTTGTGGGAGACGAGCCCGCCGAGGCCCGGTCTCGGTCCCGGGAAGGGGGTGGGTTTCTCCAGCACACATCCGATAACAGCGTAGAAGCAACAATCGACCATTGGCTGGGGCTCGCGGTCGAGCCCCCTGTACAATGACGGTTAAATCCGGCTTTCCGCCCTAGATGGCCCCGACTCTCTCGTCTGACGTAAGGATAGGTCTTTGGCGACGAGATACACACTTGGATCCCACCGCCGACGGAGCAGGACGTAGCGTTGTGCAGCGGTGCAAATCAGTAGCAGCTTGTGGTTTCTTGCTAATGGGTCTCTGACAGCACCCGATTCGCAGTAGGCGCACGGCGAAGAAAGTGCGTCCATCTTTTGGGGGGAATTCATTTCTGGCGCTGGATGCCATGTCACCGACGACTGGGAGAATGCAAATGGGAAAAGCAACAAGCCATGGCTTACGGATAAGAGCGCGAAATGAGAGCGTTTGTCGAATGAGTGGATTCGTCGGATTCACTGGCGCTCACGAGTGTAGCTGAACGCCTCGACTGTTTGATCTGAATGCAGGGCTTGCCCATCGTCAAGCAGCAAACAACTCGATCCGATGGATCCTGTTCGCACGTCCCCCCTTCCTTCCGAGTGTATGTCTCCTCGACCCCCTCAACCACCACACAACCGCATATCTCACGAGGACGAGAGCGCAGGCCAGGGTGGCGAGCAATCCCAGCCGCAACCAGTGCCAGCACAACATGGCACGCCAGACCACAGCTTCAGCGTGGACCC